GAGTTTCACAACATACCCGACTTTGCAACCTACATTTTCGTGCCTGACCCATGGTCAGAGGTGAACCCTTTTTGTGAGCTCATGAAGGGTCGAATGCACTTGAAAACAATGAGACTGCTTGAGGAAGGTTGTCACCAATGCCCATGCAAAATTTCGACTGTTTATTTCTTGTTGATTCAGAATTATTGACAAAAAAGCATGGCTGGTACCTGTGAACGAACTTTTGAGACACCCTGTAGGCTACCTAGTGTGGTTCTGAATGATCACGTATTACACCGAGAACGACCAGAACAAAATGTGTTGCGAGATCGAGTGAAACTTGGCGACGGCGGTATGCCCCGCCTAACTATTATTGCTTTTATCTCCAAAACCGTATGTCCTACGATAATGAAAGACCCCTTGTTGGAAAGAACGGTCAATTTCGGTTCTAGTAGGCTACCTAGTGTGGCTCTGAATGATTACGTATTACACCGAGAACGACCAGAACAAAATGTGTTGCGAGATCGGGTGAAACACGGCGACGGCGGTAAACGTGTATTGCTGACGGCAACGCACGACCGATATTGGAGTGGTCAAAATACTGGTTGAACTAGGTCATCCATTCAGTCTTCATTTTTTTTTATGATAAAAGTTCACGCGCGAAGAATGAATAAAAGCACGTGAACTGAAATATGCAGTCAGATGTGAAGAAATTTTAACCATATCCGTTAAGGCCGCCGTCCACTGCGACGGAATTCCGTCCGGAGTCCGTCCGGAATGTCGCCGCACGCTGGCCGCATCCGGTCCGGATGCGGTCCGGATGCGGTCCGGATGCGGAGAGCTAATAAATGTTTCCTATCACTTATTACCAAATAAAATATTGCAAGTAACCAGCAGCGAATACTCTTGCCATTCTAAGGAAATAATTTTTACTTACTTCATGATGATCGAGTTCCAATTCTTCGTGCAATTCACAATGTTTGCCTCCGATACGGCCCCAAACCACGTCTGTTCCGGACGTTCCGGATGCGTTTTCCGCAGAAAAGTTCAACGCGTCGGACATCACTCTTCCGTCTCCGTAGCAACCGCATCCGAAACGCATGCGGAGAGCTGACGGAAAATCAACAGCTGATTGCCGTTCGGATGCGGTCCGGACGGAGCGCACACGATTTCCGTACGGACCGGATGCGCCCATAGGGTTCTGTGTTAAATTCCGTACGGACCGCACGCGTTCCGCACAGTGGACGGCGGCCTTTACCCCTAAATATTTCACTAAGAATTTGGTATTGAATTGTGCTTTTCACAATGCTGGTCGTGTTGTGCAAGCTATGTAACAAAATTACGACCTATCTGGATGGAATTCGATTGCTCTTTCTAATGAGCGGCTTTCCAAAGCTGTAGGATACACGGTTGCGGAGATATAGTCGATCTTAGTTAGGGGGCTCACTTTTTTTGGAACACCCTGTATATTAACCCAAGGCCCTCTATCCGGCGCACCGATAAACGGGTGTCAAGGCTTCTACTTATAGGTACAAGAACTTTTCAAATAAAATGAATATTTTTTCATGTGCAATTTTAATTGTAAGAGCACTAAACACCCCAATGTTAGAGTCCAATGGTACAAAATTGGGTATTACAAAATGACATTGAATTCGTTTGCACGAATATCAATCAATCAAATTTATAACGAAATTGCATTTAGCTTTTTCATTCCGAAATTTTATAGAATCGGGGTGCCCTTTTTACGCTCGGCGACTGGTGACACCCACTTTTGCTGGAATCACCTTTTTTATTGGGCGCCTTTCTTCTGCTGGGGTCGCCTCTCTCTTGCTGAGGTCACCCCTCTTCTGCTCGGCGGGACTTGCTTCTGATGGGCGCTCCTCCTCTGCTGGGGTCTCACACTTTTCTGCTGGAGACTGACACTTCCCTTCCCGGGTATGCCCTATTTTTTTCTAGAGGCGTCCCTCTTCTGCCGGGCGAGCCCAACTTCTGCTTAAGTCGCTCGACCTTTTCTACTGAGGGCGCCCTTCTTACTCGGCGAGCCCAACTGCCGCTTGAGGTGTCCCATTTTTATTGTATGCGCCCCCTTCTGCGGGCAGCGCCCCTCTTTTGCGGGGCTGCCCCTCTTCTGCTGGAGGCGCCCTCGCCCATCTTCTGGTGGCGGCGCCCCTCTTCTGTTGAAACCGCCCCTCTTCTGCGGGTGCGTACTCTTCTGCTGAAGGTGCTCGGCAATGTCTGTTGGGGGCATTGCTCTTTTGCTGGGGAGCCCCTGTTCTGCTGGGGATGCCCCACTTCCGTCGGGGCCGCTGGGGACGCCCCGCCTCTGCTGGGGGCGCCCCCGGCCCCACTGCTGCTGGACGAACCCAACTTTTGCTCCAGGTGCCCCTTTTGTATTGGGGCGCCTCTATTCTTTAGGCATCCCTCTCCTGGTAGGGCGCCCCTTTCTGCTGGGGCGGCCCTATGCTGGGGGTACTCTTCTGCTGGGGGCGCCCCACTACTACTGGACGAGCCCAACTTTTGCTTGAGTAGCCCCATTTATATTGGAGTGCCTCTCTTCTTCTGGAAGCATCCCTCTTCTGGTGGGGCGCCCCCTTCCTGCTGGGTGGCCATTCCTGTGTTGAGGGCGCTCCTTTTCTGCTGGAGGCATCTCTCTTCTGGTTGGGCGCCCCCTTTCTGCTGGGGTGCCCTTCTTCTGGTAGGGCGCCCCTCTGCTGGTGAGGCGCCCCTTTCTGCTGGGGTCGCCCGTGTTCTACTGAGGGCGCTCTTCTACTGGGCGAATCCAAGTTCTGCTTGTGGGCCTCATTCATTCCTACTAGGGGCGCCTCTCCTCCGCTGGGGCGCCAGTCTTATGCTTGACGATCCCAACCTACGTTGGAGGTGCCCCACTTCTGCCTCGGGCGCTCCACTTTTGCTGAGAAAGTCCCGTTCTTGCCGGGGTGCCCCTTTCACCCATTTTTGGGGAACGATACGACTGGACGCTTCCCAAGCCCGCAGGCAGCACGACGCCGGTCACGAGACGGAATGTAGCCGGGATATCACCCTCACCATCTGCTGCTCAAGAGCTTATCGGTGTCGGGCAGCGTGTGGGGCGCCGCTTAGCCTATTGGGGTGCACTTTGACGTGATGGGGGTGCACTTTCAGGGGATGGGGGTGCACCTGCACCCCCATACATATAGAAAGTTACACCGCTGATTAAATGATACCTATTTTGTTCATATTGCGGAGAGTCAGTTTGGGTGAATTTCTAGCGCTTTTTCGGGCTGCCGGCCTACAGTGAGCCCGTGACAGCCTCCAGACGGGTGCGGACAGGCCAGCAACTCAGGCCGTCAGCAGCAACTCAGCTGTCAGCAACTCAGGCCGGACAGGCCAGTTGTCAGCAGCTCGGACCGGACAGCTGACCGACAGCTGACTGGACAGGTGGGGAAGGGGAGCGTTGAGTCAGCTGACGGTTTACGCCACCCCTACCTAACCCTCCACCCGCCGCGAGGGTTCGCTGGCATCGATCCGCCGGTACGAGGAATGGGAGTCGAAGAGGTGCCGGCTTACGGTTAGGGTGTCTGCGAGGGGAGCTTTTTTGCACCGATTATCCAAGCTGGTCTAAAATCGATGGCTGCAGACATGGCTCGTGTTACAGGGAGCCAAAAGAGAATCAATTTGGAAAGGACTGCAACTAGGACTGCAACAACTACATACACTACGGTAGAATCAAGATTCTTACAGATAAATGGTAGAATAAAGGTGAAAGTAACTGTAATTTGAGGAGACAGGGGTTTTGTTTATCTCTGCGGACGCCAGGTAGAGGACCGGAAGTGGAGGAACCGGGAGGGCAATCAGCCGAGGGTAGAGAGTCGGGAGGGACAGTCGCGAGAGCGCCGGGGAGCTGGTGAAGGGCGCAGACCGGCTGTCGCGTCACTTTCGCTGTCTTCGTGCGTGCCCAGCGGACACGGCCGTGTCTGAGCTCGTGTCCGGAGCCGGCGGCGGCAGCGGAGCCGGCGGCGGCGAGGAGTCCGGGTTTCTAGCGGTCGACCGTCACGCATGGACGCCCGCGCCGCGGCCCGCTACACCGCACCACTACTGCTGGCAGTGGCCGGTGGCTGAACTTCTCGCATGAAACAACCATCACCCATGGTGGTCTTCATATCGCAATGGGTGAACTTGTATCAGTGAATGCTGGGTGACTTTGCCAGAAATTGAAACGGATGTGAGATCGGCGTAGTTGAATCCAACTGAAGTATCGGCTCAACTTTCAGGATCTCAGTCGAAAACTGAGCGAGCTCCCCTTCCCGGACGGGGCAGGGCGGGGCTGACTGTTCCATCGATCGATCTTTACGTACCGACGCAGTTTGGGGTCATGACCCGGTCCGCCGGAGGGCAAACGGTCGCCTCCGTCCCCCGCCAAACACCCAACGCTGGCTGTCGGGTACGAGCCGTGCATCGACCGTCCTCCAGCCTCGCTCCGTCTGCATTCCCTGAGTGATTAATGTGGGCCACGTCACTGCCGCATCTCCGAGCTGGACGAATATGGTGCGACGCCGGCGCCGTCTCCCGCCGGCTGCAACACGGTCGGTCAAACTGCACGGCTGAGCTCCGCGGTCTGAGCGGGAACACAAACATGGTCCACCAGGGAGAGGGGCTTATTGATCTTAGGTGACCCGCCCGGCCTATCGAGGATGGTGCTAACCAGGCTGTATGGGACTGATGGGAATTGGGATGCGATCTGTTGCGTTGGAGTACCGCTCGATGTGAGCGGTAGCTGGGACAATGAATTCGTGTGCTGGAATTATGAATACGATAACTGCCAGGACGACGTGGCAGCACGATAAATGCCAAGTGATTGTAATCAGAAAAGCTTTTGCTCCTAACTCAACGCATGTTTATGTCGGTTGACCCCAGTTTCAAGCCACGTTTTACCCGGGATGAACGGCGACTTTTCACCAGACTGGAGCCAAGCACTGCTCACAGACCGTGTGTTATACGGCCGCTCGGCCCTCCATCTGACGTCCTGTGCTCCCCTGTTTCAGATGGTGGTCTCGTTCAACGTCAGCGGACCGTCCACTCACGAGTACCCCTCCGAGATGTCCCTGCTGGCGCTGGAGACCTCCGTGTCGACCACCGACGGCGACGGCAGCGCCACCACCGGCAAACTCGGTAAGTAGTAGTTGGTGCTTCTGCCACGTTGCGCGAAATCCAGAGATTATCTGCAAACTTTGGTGTTTTGGGCAACGCTCATGGTTCATGGCTGTTACGGATATTGGCATGCGAAGTGTATCTGATTAAATTGTTAGACAGTGTTTGAAATATCGCATGTGAACAGGTGGATAATGAAGCTCGATTCACTGGCCAATTGGCCATTGGCCAAGCATGCGAGCTGTTACCATTTGGTTCGTTTCACCGGTGCTTGTGCTTCCGGGCTGTAGGACAAGGGGCTTATCTCATAGTAACCCCACGTACGTCTGACCACCGTCTCTCTGTCTCCCGCACAGGCGGCCTGGCGAGCTACACCCCGCACAAGCTGTCAACGGGCGCCGACTTTGAGCTGGGCGTGTCCCGGCTGACCCCGGCCGCCCCGACCGCCCGGCCGGCCGAAAATCCAGAGGACGGCGACCAGTTTCTGAAACCGGCCGACGAGTCAGAGACGGTCACCTGGAGTTCCGAGACGTCTGCGGACATTCTGTTTTAGCGGCGCCCCGCGCGCGTCCGCCCGTTCCGTGTCGGCTGTTTTAGTTAGTGGGCGGCCGAGCTGCCGCCGCCTGCGTATCGAGAGTACGGCTTGTTCGATGTCGGTAGAAGCGCTGATGGATGTCGATGGCGCCGCCGCTGTCGTGTGATGTTCGTTCGCGCCGCCTGTGTTCGTTCCTGATGAACCGATATATTTATTGTATAGACTGTGCAAGATTTTACACGATTTTATGATGTATTTCAGATGATCATGATAAATATAGATGCTTTACAATGCTATGCGTTGATGAGTCTGCAAAGCAGTGTTATTTTGCGAATGAATGTCTTTATCGCTGCTGTTCTGACAGTCCAAATAATAATGAATACAAAATGCATTTGCATCATCACAATTCACAACATACGTCCGTGATGAACACAGTTCATAAGCCCTCCTCGTCCGGTCCTATTGTCCCACGCATGTGCATCGGGCAACACATAAGTTGCCGCGGAACAGGCGTTGTCTGTTCCATTCACCTGTGCATCTACCGGGTGTGGCTAAGGGCTTATGGGGAGGGACCGAGGAGACAATAACTGAGCGACGTGCCAGACAGCGTCGCTATCGGGGAACACAGGGCCCGATCGTCCAGCGACACGAACTGACACTGAGGCCGAATGACGTCGGGTGTCACGGAGGCAGTAGTCACTCGGTGGTCGAGAATTGCTGATCTGAGGACGCAGTAGTCGGGGATTGCTGATCTGAGGACGCAGTGGTCGGGAATTGCTGATCTGAGGACGCTGCGAACGGTGCACAGCTCTCGCTCTCGGGCCTGCTTTCAAGTACAGCAGTCTGTTGAAAACCTACGCTCACAGTACGATGATGATGATGGTGATACTGGTGACGACAATACGAATTCTTATGTGTACAAATGGTCAGCACAACACAGCAGACTTGTCCCCCGGTTTCGCACTGACCGATGATCCCACCTTTCTCGCCAAGCGTAGACAGCGCCACCTTCCGAGCAGCACCTGCCGCGCCTGGCGGAGCCGGTCAGCGCCACCCGTGACCCACCCGTCCGCCGCGGTATGTACCTACCGAGCGAACATCACTTGCACAGTCCCGAGTAGTACTCGTCCTCGAGCTCGTACAGATCGCGCGCCATGTCATCCTTGAGCTCGGTCAGCTTCTTGTCGATCTCCTGCTGCGCGCCCAGCGACTGCCGCGAGTGCTCCGTGATGGCGTCGTTCAGTGATGGGAAGTCGTTGAGAATCAGGTACTGTTTGATGTCCGATATGAGCTTGGTGAGCGACTCGGCAGCTCGAACCTGACCCGGAGACAAGGCCAGCTGGCGTCAGAACACAATGAAGGTATCACAAGTGCCTGGGTTGAAAGTTGACTGCGATTTGAAATAGGTACGGCCACGACCAAAATGGTAGGTACGACGGTACGAAGGTACGATCCAAATGACTGGTCTTCATAAGCAGGAATCATCAATTGCCTAAATGGACGGTAAAACAAACATTTTTTTGGAGAATTTTCGACATCATGATAGAACTCCCAAGGAAAACATTTGCACAGTACGCCTCACAACGCATCTGGTCCAGGTCTTCATACACTGCCCTCAAGCTTTGGCCACGTCCCCGTTTTTTTTTTTTCTCTCTCTGAAATGTATCCCTTTCCGGCGTTTCGATCCTGGCGTCTATCGCCCCCGCCCATGTCTCACAATGTTGGCCGCTCGGACGTGCATTTCAAACATGTCTTGGCCCGACTGCGTCATTCGGGAAACCTGAGTCTCGTCTTCCACTTTTCCCAGTTTGATAATCTCTGAAGGCAAAAGGGGACAAGTCAATGTTTCAACACATAGCAGGAGCCCAGACAATCCAGCAGCAAGACTGGGCTCTGAAGAACTCTAGCTATAGATGACTAATCAATGTGTACCACTCTTAGTAGGTAGTTCATCAAAGATGTATGCCCCAAAGTATATTGGACTCGAAATTAAAAATAAAAAGGTAAATGAAATGCTCCAGATTTAACTACATTGGACATTGGACAAGCAGAGTGAGCTGAAGTCACTTTACTATAAAGGGAATGTTTCTTAACAAATTATCGCAACAAATTTGCCTTATTTGGGATTAAGGAAGAGTCTTTTCTAAGATTAGTCAGAACATGATCTCACTCTAAGGACCAGCATGGAATGCAGCTTTGAGAGCAACGGCTTTGTTCCCTAAAAGTCAGGGTCACTGGTTAGGGAAACTCAGCTAAAGCAGGCAGTTTGGCTCAACTTTGATGACCAATGTCAAACCAAACAAAATTATTTAACAGTTAAGGTGACATGAAACAAAACTTATATTCAATAGCCTGAGTCTGATAAATATAAAGAATTACAAGGCTTAAGAGGTGAAACAATAATCAACTAACTTACCAACAAAGTTGTCTAGCATTGACTTCACATCATCTTTAAGCCTCTTGTTGTAGGACTTCAGTAGTGCTTCTTTACTCTGTGGCAGAGCTCTTTGCTGCGCTGATGCCATTTTCAATTCTGAAAAGCAACAACATCAATAATACATCAGGCAATAATTATACAAAAAGACAGCAGATTATGCCTATTCCCATTAGCCGCATTTGAGTTATACCTACCTATTCTAGAAGGTTCAGATCTCTGAGGCTCTGAGGTAAGATAATATAAAAAGATTAGGTTGGTAGGATTTACACTTTCAAGCTTTAATCAAACATAGTGCACACCATTTTAACAACCAAAAAAAAAAACTACTCTGCTGACATCATTTATTATCAATAAGCAAATGAGCAGGTTATAAATTACCCATGATATAATAACAGCTGTATGATTGTGAGTTCAGGCCCAGTCCAGAAGGTTGTTTTATGGGAAATTGTTTTTATCAGTACACAACCAGTTCTGCTATGACAATTAATGGAAGGAGCAGATGTAACAGACAATGTTACCTTTATGATGTAACAGGAGTAAGGCAGGACCAAATTAATAAGTTCTTACATCTAGTTAACTGGTGTGTTTTGGGTTAAATTCAGGACACATTTGTTGATGTTCTTTATGAATTGAGGTAGGTACAGGCCAAATCAATGACTATCGAGGTGGGCTGGTCACTTTCTCTAAATGGTTATGTTGAATAGTTACTTTGCATGAAAAAATATGAGCTCCTGCCTCCTAAAATTTTTGCTGTTTGCATAACATGACCTATGTGGTCATGGCAATAGCATGGGAATGAAGGAGCTGAAGTACAACAGTACAAGCCACAGTCAGAGATGCAAACATCCCCTAGTGTTTGATTATAATAAGATTACAAACTATTGTGAACTTATCTAAAAACCTAACACAGTTGTATGTGATATAACGTTTCATTGAGCTCAGCAGGATGAATATGAATAAAAGTGCTAGGTTTGACCTGTCATTATGCTCATAGCATTAGTGAAATCAATTGAAAGAAAGTCCAATGGACTGCTGTTAGCATATCATGCAAACAGCAGCAGAAACAGTAGCAGCAATAGCTGCTGTCCAATGGACTTTCTTTTGATTAATTTCACTAATAACGTTTTTATTGAAAACCTAACACTTCAACTTAAAATGCATGTCGCTTTTGGAAGATTATTCTTACATTTTTGTTGGCACAATTATTCAAGTTGCTAGTTTTTTTCAAAAGGTGTTTGGCTCCAACCAAGTAGGTACGTTTTTCAACCAAGCACGCGTTTTAGCCAGCAAAACGGGCAAAAACTGAACCTGGGAAACTTGAATGTTGCCTTATATTAACATGTGAATTATTCCCGATAAATTACAATTTACATATGTACGTTTTGGAACTAAGCATGAGAACAATGGTGACGTCATGCTGTGGAACTAGCATTGCAATGTAATGTATAACAATCATGGAAAGAACCGCTTACTCAATTTGGGCCTCGCCCTCGGTAACAGTGAAAAACGAAGTTTTCCCTAAATTCGTTGGCAATTAATGCTTTCTTGCGGACATAATTGAGTGCCAGCTGCCACCAAAGACGTCATCATAGTATGCTCTTGTTTGTTTGTTTGTTTATTGGAGCTTTAGGGCGCGCAGACTGCTGGGGTCATTTTGCGCCCACATAGAATGCTCATTTTTAAGACACAATTTCTATGTATTTACCAAGCATAATTTAAAATCGATCATTTTTACGGTAAAAAATTATTAGCCAGACGCTGAAGTTGCTAAAATTCACGTGAGAGCTTCGATAATGCACTTGGAGGCTGGAGCCAATCACCTTTTGAAAAAAAAAAAACAATAAAAGCAATTATGTTGCAGTGATATAGAATAGATCACTGATCAATCCAATTCCAGCGCCTGACCCTGGAGTTCTTTAGCCTTAGCCTGAACTAACCCCAGGACTCTTTTTTGGAAAGGATTTGGAAAGGATTTCCTTTTATTGTTATTGTAGATGAAAACAGCAGGAAACATTGATCACAGCTAAAATACTATTTTCATATGTACCTCTTGAACTTTGAAGCTACCTTACAATTTTATCCAGAATCTTCTCGATTATCCTCACTGAACTCTCATAAACGAATTATATATCCTCTATATCCTCATGGATAGCGGGATAGCCTTGATCCTCATTATAGAGTTCAGTGATATATCCTACTGTTTTTGTTTTAGTGGCCCTAACTTTTTTGTTCGTCATTCATGCGTCAGAAACGCTTTCAGTAACCTATTGCTAAAAAACTGCAGTTAGCACGGAACTAATTCGCTGCCCTAAAATGTATGTCCCGGCTTCTAAAACATACCTAATCGCCAAAATATATTTCCAATTTCCAAAATATATTTATAGTCACCGTGTTGATCGCAATGTATGAAAATACACTTAAGGTCATCAAACATTTACCAAATAATCTTTTTGTCGTTAACGGGAAAAGTTCACTTTCCTGAAATTAGTTTTTACAATGGATTTATTATTTTTTGTGTGCTCAAAATGATCAGAAAATAAAATAAAACCTTCCTATAAAAGGAATATTTGCTAAATTTAATAGAGGAAGAACTATATTCTTTATCAAATAATGCTTGACAGTTGACGCGGAAGCTTATCACGCCCCAGCAAACATGCCGACGTCGGCCCGACGTCGGTTCAACTTCGGCCCGACATCGGCTGGACGTCGGCTATGCCCGCATGTTCCGACGTCCAGCCGAAATCCAGCCGACGTCGAGCCGACGTCGGGCCGAGGTCGTTTGCCGAGGTTGACTTGACGAGATCGTTGTCGTTGGACCGACGGGGCCGGCGTCGGCATGTTTATTGGGACAACGCGCCAAAAATATCAACCGGCGGCGGGATTCGAGCCCCCCAGTCGCCGACGTCGGCATGTTTACTGGGACAACACGCCAAAAGCATCAGCCGGCGATGGGATTCGAACCCCGTGTCATTTGAACGCGAGGTTAGTGCGCTAACCACTACATCACGCAGCCAGATACTGGATCTAGTTTGTTTTGTTGGGTTATGCCCTATCGGTCTGACAAGACCATTTCAGAGCCGGAAGGATGATAGGATGGAGACATTGGTCTTCTTGGCGAGCACCCTGGGTCCAGTTCATATAGAGTCCCTGGTCCCATTGCTGTTACGTGACACTTATTGGAAAGGGCGACCCCACAATGGATTCATATAGCCACTCTTACACACCTGCACCAACGTTTCCCAAAGTGTCCCTTTGATAAGTGGCACTTTGGCAAAGTGACACTTGCCGACTGGCATTTCTATATGAACTGGGCCCGGCCCTGGTGAGTTGCCGGGGCTGAGCCTGACCAAAGGATAGGCCGAGCAGCCCCCAAGCACTCACCGCATCCGGCTACGGGCGAGCTCGGCTTACGGGCAATCCCAAATGGGATAAAGTTTCCCGTCCAGTCCGGATCAGGGGTTGCGGCGTGGAGGAAGATTTGAGTTTCCTGAGGATATTTTGAATACAGAAGCTCTTTATGAAACATGAAACATGTATTTTATATTATTTTAACGGTCAAAACAGCGTCCGATGTCGGTCCGACGTCGCCCCGACGTCGACCGGACCTCAGCAATTGATCTCGGTCCGACGTCGGCCCGAGGTCGGCTCATCGGCTGGACGTCGGTACATGCGGGAATATCCGACATCCAGCCGACGTCGTGCCGAGGTTGGACCGACGTCGGGCCGACGTCGGCATGCCGATGCCGAGATGCCGACGTCACCCGACGTCGGGCCGACGTCGGCATGTTTACTGGGTAGGGTCCAAAGTATAATAGGTGGCGAAAAACAGACTTCACCATTGTAATCAGCGTCAAGAACAGTACATAAGGACCAGTTTCTAGGAAAATCTAAGGGGGTCCTCTTACCCCTAAAAAAATTAAACGCCTCTAGGGATCAAAGTATAATATGTGGCGAAAAACAGACTTCACCATTGTAATCAGTATCCAAAAGTGTAGATATGGACCAGTTTTTATGAAAATCTAAGGGGGTTCCCTTACCCCTAAATTTTTTAAAGGTCTATAGGGGCCAAAGCATAATATGTGGCGAAAAACAGACTTCACTATTGGAATAAGCGTCAAAAACTTACATGTGGACCAGTTTTTATGAAAATCTCAGGGGATCCCCTTACCCCTCAAAAAAACTTTGAACGCCTCTAGGGGTCAAAGTATAATATGTGGCCAAAAAACAGACTTCACCATTGTAATCAGCGTCCAGAAGTGTACATATGGACCAGTTTTTATGAAAATCTAAGGGGTCCACTTACTCTTAAAATTTTTGAATGCCTGTAGGCTGTAGGTGCCAAAGTATAGTATGTGGCGAAAACACAGACTTCTCCATTGGAATCAGCGTCAAAAACTGTACATATGGACCAGTTTTTATGAAAATCTAAGCGGGTTCCCTTACCCCTAAAAAACTTTGAACGCCTCTAGGGGTCAAAGTGTAATATGTGGCGAAAAACAGACTTCACCATTGTAATCAGCGTTCAAAACTGTACATATGTACAAGTTTTTATGAAAATCTAAGGGGTCCCCTTACCCCTAAAAATTTTTGAATGCCTCTAGGGGCCAAAGTATAACATTGGCGAAAAACAGACTTCTTCATTCGAATCAGCGTCAAAAACTGTACATATGGACCAGTTTTTATGAAAATCTAAGGGGGTCCCCTTACCCCTCAAAAAAAAACTTTGAACGCTTCTACGGGTCAAAGCATAATATGTGGCGAAAAACAGACCTCAGGCCATTGGAATCAGCGTCAAAAACTGTACATATGGACCAGTTTTTATAAAAATCTAAAGGGGTCCGAATGTGATTCTGAATGTGAATCTGAAGCTGAGGCTGTCTTGACAGACGTGGTTAAAATATCGACGTCTGGGCCAGTCGCGCCCTGTCGGCGGCGGAGGCGAGCCGGCCATGACGGCGCTGCGCTACGGCGGCGGCCGGCGCCGGCTCCTGCTGACGGCAGCCCTCTGCGCCGTGCTGGTGTCCCTATTCTTGCTGTGGGTCTCGGACGGTGCCGGAAAGCCCAGGAGACCGGCACTGGACCCGACTACCAGTCCATCTCCGCCGGCCGAGGTCGACCCGGCCGGCTCGGCCGCCGCCGCGTTCCAGCAGGTGTGCGAGGAGGTGCGTGTCATTCGTGCAGGGGGACTGGAGCCGATCGTTCGGCAAGCCATGGTGGATGTCTGCGGACAGCTCGGTCACTCCACACCACCGGCGCAGCCCACCGGCTGCCGAAAGGCCATCAGCTATGACGCCATCGGCAGGCTAGGCAACCTGATGGGTCTCTACGCAATCATCTACAGCCTGGGTCGTTCCTACGGCGCCACGGGCTACGTGGAAAGCGGTATGTGGGGAACTCTACACAAATACTTTCCGGGCATCTCTCTGAAGTCCGTCGAACTCGCGCCTCAGGACGCCGTTTGGGAGGACATCACATACCAAGAAGTACATAGAAAGCTCGAGTGTCAACCGGGGGAAAACAACGCCGAACCTAGCTACTATCGGATAATGGACTGGCCGGCAAGAAACGGAATCGATGTGTTTCACCCATTCAGAGCCGAACTGCGACACGAGTTCACCTTTGCGGCAGCACTTCAAGACGAAGCACAGACATTTTTGAGAAGCGCTCGTGGAAACCGCACCTCGGCTACCTACATTGGTTTCCACGTGCGCCGCACTGACTTTGAGGCGTACGTCCGCAAAAAAATACGGCCGCACCCTGCCCGATGTCGAGTACTTTGAACGAACGTTGACCTACTACCGCGAACGCTTCAGCGACGCCCTCTTCATCGTCTGCTCCGGCGACATCGACTTTGTCACTGAACGGCTTAACGCCAAACAGAACGACGACATCTTGATCGCCGGCAACCGAGACATCAGCGACCCGGGCCGGGACATGGCTCTGCTGTCGGCCTGCAACCACTCAGTGGTGACTGTGGGCACGTACGGCTTCTGGGGCGCCTACCTGGCCGGCGGCACGGTGCTGGCTCCCGATGAGAAGGCCCACCTGAGTCGAGCCGACGGCAGCGTGCCCCTGATGGTCGTTCAGAAGGCTGGAGCCACCAACTGGGTGATGCTCTGGAGCTGACAGCCACCAGCTGGAGATGCTGTCTGCAGGAGCTGACGTCTTAAGCTGGATATCGTGTCAGCAACTGACGGCCATCGCTGGATATCGTGTCAGCAACTGACGGCCATCGCTGGATATCGTGTCAGCAACTGACGGCCATCGCTGGATATCGTGTCAGCAACTGACGGCCATCGCTGGATATCGTATCAGCAACTGACGGCCATCGCTGGATATCGTGTCAGCAACTGACGGCCATGGCTGGATAACGTGTTAGCAACTGACGGCCATGGCTGGCTAGCCAGGCCTCTGATAAACCTCCTGAAGCAATTGTGTGTGGCACTCGTAGTCCGCGATGCTCCATGAA